TTTACTGGGGAAAAGCATTTGCTGAGTTATTTCAGTGAGGTCCCTAACTCATATATGACATTTATTGTTTTAATTTCCTGCGCTCACTTTTACCATTTATTGTAGCCACTGCCTTGCTTTTTGTGTTTTTTCCAGGAGAGTGCTTCCTTCATACATACTGAATCATTTCCTTGTTTTTTCCTCTTTATCTCAAAGAATTTTTTCTGAAATACTTCCTGTGGTAGTAGAGTCTTGTCAAATCACACACTAAAAACAGAGCATGACTCACCCTATTATACTACTGACGTGTCGTGATGACCCTTTTCTTTCTAAGGAGCTTTAAAGAGCCACACAGCCACAAAATCATGGACAATAACACTAGCAATTCCTTCTATGGGTCAGAGGCTGGGCATGAAATTTAATGAAACATAATTTTAGAATTCCAAACACAGTTTACAAAAGTATTAAAGCCATAACATCCTGGCCTTTGCATAAAGAAATTCTCAGCAACTAGAATCCATGAATATATAGTAGGAGACAGGGAAAGCACCCAGAGACTTGGTGGCAGGGAGTTGTGTGTTTGGGGGCCTGAGTCTGGCTTGAGTAGCTTTCATTCTAAAGTTGTCTGATGTAGTCAGCATGGAGGTGAGATTGTTTTCCACACCCTCGTTGGGGTCACTGCAGCCCCTTAGTATATTCTTGAATTGAAAAATCAAGAAGGTAAATATTAAATATGAAAAGACTGTCCAGTTCTATTTTAATGTTAAGAGCTTCCTTGATAAACTAAAGCATTACTGCTTTGGAATGGAATTGTACTTATTTCCTCAAAATAAATTATAATCAGAAGTAAGTGCCTCATTACCTCGTCCAAAGTGAGTGTTCAGTTTACTCAGGAAGTAAATGGGCAAAGGATATGAGCTGACAGCTCACAAAAGAGGAAATAAAAAAGACTGTTTGATAACATGTAACAAGACCTTTTTCACAGTATACATACTTATGTTATTTTTAGTGAAAAGAATATAAAATGTGTTTTGATAAAATACAAAGTTGCACTGGTTAAAATGTGTACATAAGGGAAGAAAAGATGTCAAGATGTTGACAATGATTGTTTTGGAGGAGTGAGGGTTACGGGTGACCTGGTGGTGTCTCTTGTGTGCTTTTTGCATCCTTTGCAAATTGTCTACAGTGAGCACATCTTATTTTATAATCATTAAAGGAAAACTATATGAAAGAGCTTGTCCTCTGACACAGTATGCCACCTGGGACCCTCCTGCTCCTGGCTGGGCCAGCCTTCCTGTTCAGGGGCATCTTAGAACTACCTTCCTTCTACCACTCTGTGTGACATTTCATAATATAGGTCGGTGATGGCGAACCTTTTGAGCTCGGCGTGTCAGCATTTTGAAAAACCCTAACTTAATTCTGGTGCCGTGTCACATAGAGAAATTTTTTGATATTTGCAACCATAGTAAAACAAAGATTTATATTTTTGATATTTATTTTATATATTTAAATGCCATTTAACAAAGAAAAATCAACCAAAAAAATGAGTTCGCGTGTCATCTCTGACACGCGTGTCATAGGTTCGCCATCACTGATATAGGTGCTATGGCCCAGCCCTGGGCTAGGATATCAGAAGTGTGGCAGGGTTCACCCTAATGTATCCCGTGGGAAGGACCTCACTTCTTCAGAGGAGCAGGCCCACCCTCCCTCAGTATGATAGCCCCTTCTTGGGAGTAGAGCCTTAGACCCCATTTGTTATTTTTTTATCTGGCCTTTTACGTGCCAGAGGTGCATAATAAACATGCTCCTAGTGAACTTAGAGGAGAGTCAGGTAAATAGTGAGACCTTTACCACCACACTTTCAAAGTGATTATTTTTTGGAGAGCAGTTTGTTGACACTCTGTCCTTGCTACTTATAAAAAGGCTGGAAGCATTTTAGCATATCCATCAGGTAGATTCATGAAGATTGCGCCAGGAACTCTAAAATGACATGCTTAGAAATGTCGTTTTCTGTCCTGTAATTCTCTCCAGGTACATAAACTGGTCTCTCAGCAGCTCTCTGCCCAAGGTTTGTGCTGCAGATCAGCCTCTGCTTGTTGTTCCTCACCTGCAGAGGCCAGGTGAGAATGGCTGGGAGGCCCCACTTAAAGACAGCTTGCGTGTTTAGAAAACTATGCTTTAAGGAGGGCGTGGTTATATACTTATCCCCAAAATGTTTGAAATTAATCCATTTACCTGAAAGTTTCCATTAAGATTGTATAAAAATAGGGCATATCTGATTTTAATTTCCCTGTGATTTTTATTTCCTAGGGCAAGTACTTACCCATTAAGAGAACACCTTTTATCTTTTCTTAGGTATTTGGCCACTGGCTCTGTGTTTGGAGAGGGTGTGCAAGTTTTTAATGAATGGTTTCAGGTTTTTCTAAGGAACAGTTTTTTTAAGCTGACACTCATTGAGCATTTGGGTAACTGGTGTAATCCTTACAGCAATCCTGTGAGGGAGATGGTACTCTTGTTAACCTTTTACAGATGAGGCAGTGGAGGGACACAGAGAAGCCACTTGTCTGGGAGCTCCTGACAGTGAGCATTAGCCCTGTGAGTTGGCCCCTGACAGGCAGCTTCTGGAGGCCTTGCTCTTAACCTCCATTTCTTTAATACTCAAAGGTGACGATAACCATTGTTTGTCCAGCTCATACATAAAACTAGTTGTTTTGATGTATTGTGGCCAGGTTCTGTATACACAGGGAAATATATCTGTGGTAGAAACTTGTTCATCAGACAATTAAATAACAAGTTCTAAAGAGGAATTTTCTACAAATGGACTTGCAGTTAAGCTTTGGACAAACCCTGCCGGGGTCCAACCCCAGCAGGTCCAGGGCTTCCCAAAGGTGTAGACGGAGTCGGCAAAGAAGGAAGGACACGGAGACAGTGTTCAGTTGATCAGCAGCCTAGCCAGGATCTCCAGCCAGGATCTCCAGCCAAGTTCTGGTCTGGATCTCCAGAGAGGTTCTGCTGTGGATCTCCAGCGAAGTTCTGGTTAGGATCTCCAGCCAGGTTCTGTGTCCATGTTCTCTTGCTAGGTTCTCCAGGTTCTCCAGCCAGGTTCTGTAGCCATGTTCCCTCGCTAGGTTCTCCAGCCAGTTCTGTCCAGGTTCTCCAGCCAGGTTCAGTCACCAGGTTCTAGTCAGGTTCTCTTGCCAATTTCTGTAGTCAGGTTCAGTCCAGGATCTTTTGCCATGTTCTCTCCAGTGAAGTTCTTCTGTCTCTAGATTCTGTGTAGGTTCTGTGTCTAGGTTCTGAGTGTAGGTTCTGTCTTGTTACATCCGTATTTATCCCAGTTGATTTTAATCCTGTCAATTTCTATTACAAAGGTTAGGGCGTTTCTTATCTCCATTCCAGGGAGTAAAGATTATGTAGCTTAAGCATGATTGTTCGTAGTTAAAGTGATTAATTACCCGCCTGGCACTTAGTTGAGGGGTTTTATTCCCTCCCCAACTTCAGGGGAAAATCCCTACCTGGGGAAACAACCTTTCTCAGAGAGGAGACCTTGGTTAAAACACATAGTGCCAAGAAGGTGAGCAAACATATTAAGAACAGTATGCCATATATGCCAGGTCCCTTGAAACAGCAAGGATGGACCGGCTCCCGGAAAAACCCCCTTCATATGTCACCCCCCCTCCTTATCCTGTGCTCTCAGGACCAGGCAGCTTCAGTTCCTCTATTTGTCAAGGGTCAGGGCTCCAGTAACATCTTCCCCCATCATGGCTATCAAAATGTCTCCAGATGTTGTCAAATGTCCTTTGGGGGGTACAGTCACCTCCAGTTAAGAACTCCTGCCTTGGATAATATGGAATAAATGCTTGCTGAAGAAACTGAGCTGAGTGTGTCAGTTTTTTCCTATTTTACCAAGCACTGTTGATGGCCACAGTAGTGATGGGGGACAGCTCTGCCCCAGGACATGCCCCTGGGCCTCTCGGAACATACAGAGGCCACTCTGCCCCTCGGTTCCTAGGGCCCTGATCACTGGCTTTAGGCTTAGGTCTGGGAGCTCTTGTCTTCTTGGAAGGCTGTGAATAGAAACAGCTCTTTCTCCTCAGGAATAGACATGTTTGAGATAAGCCACCTTAACTACAGAATGAGCATGTGGCACATCCTCAGCTTTGTATAAAATTTTTTCCCCAGACAACATTTTCCTTGCTGATTTCAGTTAAGTCCAATCCTCGGAATGTCTTTTGTAGGAAATAAATGGCCTGATCTTCAGTAGCAGTCTGGTTTTGGACTAAACATGTTGGTGTGACTCTCATCTTTGACTCTTCCCTTTCCCTTCAGAAAGGACCTAAGTGTGAAATACCCCGAAGATCTTCCCATCACCCTTCCAAACCTGCTGAGGTTCATTTTGCATCACTCAGACCCTGCTTCTGTCCCCCAGAACTTGGCTAGCCCTTCTACCAAAGAGTGTCTTCAGAGTGAGGCAGTCTTACAGCAGGCGCACATCTCCCATTTGGAGAGAGAGATCCAGAAGCTGAGGGCTGAAATCAGCACCCTTCAGCGAGCGCAAATGCAGGTGGAGGCTCAGCTTTCCAGCGCGCGCAGGGATGAGCACCAGCTGCTGCAGCAACAGCAGACCTTGAAGAAGCAGCACAGCTTGCTCCAGCTGCACAGTGAGCAGCTGCAGGCCCTGTATGAGCAGAAAACCAGGGAGCTGGAGGAGGTGGCCCGAAAGCTCCAGGAGCTGGCCGACGCCTCAGAAAACCTGCTCACGGAGAACACATGGCTCAAGATCCTGGTGGCGACCATGGAGCGGAAACTGGAGAGCAAGGACGGAGCTGAAAATCTCTCTCCCCCAGAAGAGGGGCACACTAACTACCCTGAGCCCTCAGGGTCCCCCCGGTTACCTGGCAGCACCCCTCCACCTGCCAATATCAGCTCCTCGCTGGCGGCTGAAAGGAGCAATGAGAATAGGACAGACTAACTTTTTAAACGACATGAAGAAATCAGAGGTGAAATCTGTACATTGGGAATATATTTATGCAAATTTTATTGAAATTTATTGTAAATAAAGATTTTCTCAGTGGTCTAGAAAATCAATGTGAATGTCATTCAGCTTTTATTGAACAGGGATGCCATCCCTTCCACTTATTGCACAAACTTGGTAACTGAGACAAAAAACAGTAGCACAGTCCATTTGAAGATTTGTCTGAAAAATTAGTCCATATTTTAGTGGCTGCGTCAGAGTTCCCTCCCCATTCTCCTATTGTTGCTTCTGTGATGACATACAGAATGAGATGTTAATTTCTTGACTGACTAGTCAGAAAACTTGAACACAACAGTGGTCAATTCAGAATGAACTTAATGAGAGTCATAACTTACTAAGCCAGTTGAGTGTGTGGCTCTGGTCTCTGTACTAAAAAAAGTAGCTATTGACAAATAAGAACAGTGAGAGCTATTGTGTGGTTGTTCACCAGTTCTACAGGCACTTTCACTTTCCTCCCAGAGACCCCCACGAGTGCCCCACCATGCTGATGGGATGGGCCTGATTCAAGCTGCAAAGATGTCATCCCTGGCAACCAAGGAGTGGAATAAAGAACTTCCAGACGTGAAACTAAGGAGAAAGCGACATTTCAACATTTCAAAACTCAAACTTCACTGGCACGTCTGACCTCAAGGGCAAGTCTGACAGTCAAGTGATGGTCATTTTCAGAGACTGAAAATGCAAGTCCCAGGTGCCTCCTGGGTTACTAGGATGAAAGACAGCCTAGGTGTAAGCTGCTGGCTGCAGAAAGTTAGAGGTAGAAAGCTTGGAGGTTCTGGAATGCGAGGGGAATGGATCAAATGCCCCTACACCTTCCATTTTTCTTGAGCATCCTTCATTAGAAAGTAAATCTCCCTGATTTCTAAGTCGGCACCTTTGGAACTTGTCTCCACTCCCAGCCCAAAGGGCCTCTGCTGATCTCCAGCTTAACTCTCATGGTTGGCCATCCTCAGTTAAGGGCCAGGGACATTTCTTCTTGTCTTTAGCTCAAATTGCCTAACTGCCCTTACCCCTCCCTCTAAGCTATTAATGTTTGGTCCCCAATTTAGACATATGCTGCTAAAGTAAATGCTCCCTAAGCTCCCTCCTTGGGGTTCTAGAAAGTAGATTAGTTCAACATGCTTTCTAGAGGAGACTTGAATGAAGCCATAAGTAAGCTGCCTTCAGCCTGACCAGGAAGCCAGGGCTCTGATGGTGGTGGGAGCTGACGAGCGAGGCTGAGGGCCTCCTGGGAGCTCCATGCCCATGCTGCTGGCAGGCTACTCAAGTGCTAAAGGCCACTGCACCAAGGTTAAAACAAGGCTGGCCTCCAGTTTATTACCCAGGATGCCGATACAAGTCCTAGTTAATTGTGACCGGTAATGTGTTTACCGTGGTGGAATTAAAAATCCAAGTGATTTCATACAAGGGACTCCTTGGAGATGCAGGCTGTGGAGGCACTGGCCCGATCCAAGAGCCACTAACTCATCTTTTTGAAAACTAAGTGCAGAACCTGAAACTCACTCTCCCCTGCCCCCCGTCCCCCCAGGTGCTCACTAAGCACAGGCAGTCAGGGCACATCTGGGGGCTCCTATGTACATATGCACATAAGAAATGTCCTTCCACTGCACTTGGTGCTCTCTTAGTGGAGTCAGGGGACTCTCCTTCTAGGTCAGGGGTGGGGAACCCTTTTTCTGCCAAGGGCCATTTGGATATTGACATCATCATTCACGGGCCATACACAATTATCTACTTAAAAATTAGCCTGCTACATTTGGTCAAACATTTAATTAACTCACACCTAATGCCTTGGCAGGGCCAGACCAAATGATTTCATGGGCCTTATATGGCCTGTGGGCTGGACGTTTCCTACCCCTGTTCTAGGTGATCTGCTGAGGAAAGTAAAATCCAGTATCCAGCAGGTGAGTGGTAATTTAAGAAAGGAAACTAATTTGTGAAAAGGGAAGGAGTGAGGAAACCCCAGTTCCCTCCTCTCCCCTCCAGTGCAGAAAATATTAAATACAACAACAAATAAAAACCTCAGTTTTCTTTCCTGGGCTAATTGGGTTCCAGATAAAAGCCACTGCCTGCTCGCTAAGCCTGTGCTAAGTAATGCCCGGTGGGGGGGTGGGGGGGTGGGCTTGGAGAGGGGACAGAGTGCTCAGCATGCTCAAGACCAGGGGGGCAAGAAACTGCTCTGCCACTGGGATGCCTGGCAGCCCTCAGGACGTGTGCCTGACTCGTCCTTCACTGGCTCCCAAGCAGCTGCAGTAGCTTCCTTGCAATATCAACAGCAACTGGTATTTAACGACCGAACCTACATAGAAAGACAGTGGTGTGGTTCTCCCATCTATTGCTAACCAAGCAGAAATCACCACAGCACCTCAACTGGTCAGCTCTGAAACTTAAAACACGTCACATCCTCTATGAACACACACATATATTAGAGGCCCCTGCCAAGTGCAACTTGGGCCTTACATGTCCAAGACCCTCCCCCACAGCCTTGACTCAGCTTATTAGTACGGTCAATCCCATGTACATTATGCAGTATTTTTTAAAATCAGCAAAAAAGGTTTAAGCACGTGCTTCTGGGTCCTATTTACAGTTCACAGGTTTGTGAGTTCACGCGTTACAGTAGTAGCGCCATCCAAACAGGCTCAGCTAAACATTCAAGTAACAAAAGCAAGGTCAGGTCTGCCCACTGCCTGCAATGGGCAGCTCCACCAGGAGGCAGAGGGAATGCCCAGGGCCACCAAGTCCTGGCTTAGGACAGCTGGGACCCCAGGAGTCAGTGCATGCGATAATGAAGCCCGGCGAGGCCATGCCAGCGTCAACCCCTCCTCTCAAACGGCAGCACGTCTGTGGTTTTCCCCTCCCACGCCTCTTGGCTGGCTGCAAACAGGCCCAGGAGCCTTCGCATCCCGGCTCAGCCGTGCACTTCTGGGCCATTGGGGGTCAGCTTGGCCTTCCTCTCCACACATGGTCCCTTGGCTGAGTACTGCACCAGCAGGAAGGGCTCCTTGGTGTCGCCATCCCCCACGATGCTCTCCTCGTCCTCTGACTGGCTGATGCGCTGCAGCCGCAGGTAGCACCAGCAGCCCAGGATCAAGGCCCCCAGGGCAGCGATGGCGATGAGGATGACAATGACTGTGACCACACCCGTGGTGGGGCTATGGTCCATAATAGACATGGTCAGCGCTGGGGGAGGCTTCCTCCGCAGGAAGGTCTTGGGGGTAACCGGCTCAGTGAGGCTGGAACTCAGGCTGTACACGAGAGCCCTGAAAGAGAAAGCGACATGAGGCTCCACTGGGGACTCTGCAAGGTACCCACCTGGACAGCTCACAAGCTCATGTTGGCTTTTCCACAGGATCTAAAGCCTGACCATCCTGTCCTCATCCTAGTGAAAACATGCTGGTTGGCTTTTGTTGTTTCTTTGACTATGGTGTTACCAGCCTTCTCACTCACCCTGGCCCACTTCCATTCACTACCTTTGGAGCTTCTGCTACCAGACAGGCAGCCACCCTGGCCCAGCCACAGAGCCTGAGATGTGGGGGAGAAGGGTATCTACAACCTGCAACCCCACAATAGCATAGGCTCAAAAGAGGGTCTGTTTAAGGTGAATGTTCTGGAAGCCCAGCACCACTGGGTGTTCACAGCAATTCAGGGACGAAAGCCAGTGCTTCCTGATGGCCAAAGATGAGTGATTTGACGGCGGGGAAGTGGCATCGGCCCCTCATGAACAGGTGGTAGCTCAACTAAGTCTTCAGGAAATCCTGTAAGAGGGGGCAGGAGATGACAGCCTTTGCCCATACGGGAACAGCCGCCGCCTGGGAAGAGCCCTGATCCACCACACCAGCTGAGAGGGAAGCCAGGCAGCAAAGTCCTGGAAGATGGAGGCACTCAAGACAGACGGCCCTGCCCTCTTCAAGCTCAGCTTCTGGTGTAGGAGCCAGACTACAGACAGGTCAATATACCAACCACCTGTCACTACAAATGCAGGAATGCCAAGCCAGCACAATAGGGGACCAGGTCCCACGATGCTAGAGTCGGTGGGGCAGGACATACTTAGGGAGGCAATGCTGATGCTAAGATGTGCAGGAAAAGCCAGCCGTTGGGAACAGCATCTGCTAAGGCTCTGAAGGCAAGAGAGGGTCTGCAGACAAGTGCAAGGAGCTGAGGGTGCTGGTCGCTGAAGATGGAGCATCAGCTGATTTGGGTGAAGGTGGGAGGGGATGTACATGTACTGGACCACCATTTCCTGGCCTCCTAACCTCAGACAACTCCATTTCACAGAGGCCCTGTTAATGGGGCTGGTGAGAGGCTAAGGAGAGCGCAGCTGCGGAAAGTGCATAAGACTCACTATAGGTGAGGCCACTAGCAGCCTGCTGAGATTCAAGTGCTGAAGCTAGCAGGCTCCCCTGGGTCCCAAGTCCCTGCACTTTTTTTTCTCGCATCTCACCATAAGCAGAGCGAATAACAGTAACTAACACCCAGGTGGTGTGGTTACAAGGATGTGGAAAAGCACCAAGTTGTCACTCAGTAAGAGTGACTTGTTTGAATTGGGTTTTTTGAGAAGACTGACACCAACGCAGGTAGACAGTGTTGGAAGGGGAAGGTTTTCCCTCCCAACAAGATGGAATTTGCCATCCTTGAGCAATAACAGCCTTAATTAGAAATGATTTTTATCCTGAAGGTCAACACTCTGGCATCTGTTTGGGGACCAGGCCCTGGAAAACTGCAGACCCGAGTTCCACCTGCCACCATTTGCAGAAGGATCCTGGGCAGCTGGGGGCGATATCCCTGGAGTCTGCCTCCTTCTTACCACCTCCAGGATTAAGCCACTGCCATCACTCTCAACAGGCTTCCAGCTAACTGGTCTACCATGTGGGCCCACTGCAGCCAGTGCCCTTGTGACCCAGAGGAAAAGCCCACAAGTCCTTACAGTGACCTACAGAACCTTTCATGATGCATCTGCAAGCCCTGCTGCCCAGGCCAGTCCCTCTGCCCAAACACTCTGCTCCCCTTACCCTTGTTTAAGGGTTCTTTATGGGGCAACTGTGTCCCCCCAGGGGACATTTGGCGATATCTGGAGACATTTCTGGTTGTCAAAACTGGTGTGTGTGTGGGTGCTACTGCTACTGAGTGGGTAGAGAGCAGGGATGCTGCTCAAGACCCCACAGAGCATGGGACAGCTCCCCAACCCCAACAAAGACCAACAGTGTGCAGGTGGAGACACCCTGACCTAGTTAACTCCAGCTCAGGCAGGGAAGCTCCTGATCCTACAGTCCAGGAGGGTCTCTTGGTTTTGAGTCCTCCCTCCAGGGCACTAGCCTCAGCTTGCAACCCTGCTTTTGTAGCATAGCCATCTGATTAGCACCCACCTACCCATCAGACTGTGTGCTCCATGAGTGGCCCTGCACATCTCTGTATCCCAAGTGTACGGGTCACCCTGGACTCTCCCCTGCCACCATCAGGGCTGCTGTATTCTCCCACAACCCTGCTTGCCCTGTCCTCTCAGCCCTCCAGATGGGACAGGTGACTACTCCCCCACCCCACCCTGACCTCCATTTTCTCTTCCTGCTGGAGAGACCACCTGCCTGCCTTGTCCCTGTCCACCTCCCTCTCCCCACTGGACCTCTCTGTCTGCTGGGGTGCCTGCATTCCCACAGCGCTCATGGACAGGAAGTCAGTTATCAATTCAGAAGGGGAAGTCTGTGTGTGTGTGTGGGGGAGAGTGGGGGTGGTTTGGGAAATCAAACAATGGCAGCAGGACCTGGGGATGGGGGGAACCCAAGGGCCAATCCCATTGAAGCCAGAAGTCCCAAACTAATGAGGAAACCAAAGCAGAGGCAGCCCCCTGGCTCAAAGGGACTTTCTGGAGGTGTGGTAACCTCAAAAGACACTACCAAGTGCCTGCTGCCCCTGACCAGGCCAGGAGTGGGCACAGCCAGGTCTGGGCCCCTCACCCCCATGAGCACAGAGCCAGGTGACCAGGCCATAGTCACGCCTGGCCTGCGTCTCTGGCCCTCCCCTGAGTGTATTTGTTCCTTCATTTACTCAGCAAGTATTTCCTGAGAACTCACCTTTTAAAAAATCTGATCATCCCCTGTTCAGAACCTCCCCAGTATCAGCAAAGAATCTAAATTCCTTGCCTCCCGAAGCTTCTGCACACTCTCTACCCTCCCACCTCAAGGCCTCTGCATTTCCTGTTCCTTCTGCCTGGAATGTTCTTCCCTGATTGTCCTATGTCTGGCTCCTTCCTGTTTGGGGGGACTTTCTTAGAAGGTACCTCCTGGGGGATGCCCTCCCAGACCACCCTGGCTCGATACCCCTCCACCCCACACTTGCCACTACCTTGCACTACTTCATTTTATTTCCCAGCACTCTCTGCTACCTGACATCCTCTTGGGTCAGGGAACACATTTCCCTAGCTACTGTCTCCTTCCTGCAGTGGACTGAGCCAGAAAGAGGAGGGCACTGACCATCTTGTCCACTGCGGGATCCCTAACCCCACAACAGATGCTCAATAAATGTCTGCTGAGTGCTCCAAGCCCAGGGATATAGTGATGAGTCACAGGAGACCCTGTTGTCATGGGGATCCCGGTTGGCAGTTACCCGTCCCTGAGCCAGATCCCTCACTCCAAAGCCACTCCCAGAACCCTGGTCATGGGTCCCCCTGTCTGTCTGAACAGACTTAGGAAGCCAGCAGCCTGCAGGGGAGGACAGGCTGCAGCCTGAGTGTGGGGGTGGGAGCAATGTGTGCAGGTGGAGGCCGGGCAGGCCTGAGCCCATGGAAGGGCAGCTGTCATTGCGAGTACTGAGCAGTGGGGAGGGGAGGAGGCCTCCAAGAAGCAGAGCCCAGAGGAGACATGAAGCATGAGGGAGGCTGGCTGGCTTGCTTGAGTGTGACCCCCACCCTACTTGTGTTGTCTCTACTGGGGCTTTCCCTATCCCCCACCTCTGTGCCCCTCTGAGCCAAGGTGTCTTCTGCAAGTTAGCTGTCCCCTCACTCTAATCCAGGAAAGCCCCTAGGTGAGATAGGGAGGGCCATGGCTTGGGCTGAGTAGACACCCAGGATGGCACCTTGGAAACCTGACCCCCTCAGGACAGTCACCAAGCGCTAAAGCCCAGCCTCTCCAATCTGCAGAGGCCACTCCTCTGAGCTCCCCACCCCATGCCCCCTCTGCCCACCAATGGGCTCAAAAGGATAGTCCTCTCCACAGCCAACACCTCTCACTGTCCTGCTGCCCTTAAGAGGCCCATTATTAGGTGGGGTTTCTTTCAGTTATCCCTGACACTTCATGGAACCCCCAAACTGAGCCTTAACCCCACTCCATGGGTCACTGCTCACACTCAAGGCCCATGTGGGGCCACAGCCAGCAAAAAGCAGATTTGAGACCCCTTGTTCACCCACCCCACTTCTTCCTTGACTTGCTATTTTGAGCTGTTTTGACCCAGCCAAGCAAGCTGCTCCTAATAACCTGTTTCTCAGTGTGCAAAATGGGAATGAGGCCCTGACCTCACCCATCAAATTGTGTGGAGGATGAGAAGTGATAAGAAATGTGAAAACGGAAGGGCCACAGAGAGCACAGTGAGCCCTTAGGATCCCTTTTCTCCAAAGACTTGTCTCCCAGGAGGGTACAGAGTCTGGCCCAAGCCCAATGCCACAAACAGTCCCTTCCTCAGGGACACTCTGCTGCTGCCTTCTCACTTAACTGAGCATATCACGAGTGTCACCCAGCCCAGCTGGACACTACCTCACCACCCCCGCCTTCTGGGGTTGCCCTGCTTAGAGGGGGCCAACCACCCTAACCCAGGGGCTTCCAGCACTGCCCCTAGGGGTTAAGCCACACCCTTCCCCTAACAAAGCCATCTGCTAGGTATGCCAACAAACCCAGCTCCGCCTCTTCATGGGACCCCAGTTCACAAATCAGAAACATTTCCTGCCTGGTTTCTGATTAGGAACATAGAATAGTAGAGAGGATAAGACACTGCTGGGCATAGTGGGGGTGCAGGTGGAACATCTGCTCTGTGCCAGGCCCCAGCTGTCCTTGGAACCCAAGGACACATCACACAAGGCCCCTGTCCTCTAAATGCCAGGACCAAGAACAGTGGGGATCCTCATGGGAGACTAACAATTACAAGACTGTGCCCAGCTCTGGCCAGTGTCATCTCATCCTCTACCCCCACCCTCCTGAAGAGGAAACTCGCACCAGAACCCCCTAGGTTCCCCTGAGCAGAAGAGGAAGCTGGCCTGGGGCAGAGCCTGGGGACTGTACCAAGGTCAGACTGGGTCTCCTGCAGACCCAGGTCTGAAGCTCATGCCCCCACCCTGTGAATCAGCCACTGGTAATTCTCACAGGCTGCCCCAGGGTCAGCCTACTTGGCTAAACAAGTTTGGTAATAACAGATGCCTGACAAAAGTTGGCGATGATTACTATGTGCCAGACACCGGGCTAAACACTTGACAGAATCTTCTCCTTTCAGCCTCAAAACACCCCAGAGAAGAGTTATTACTATGCCCACTTCGCAGATAAAGAATCTGTGGCTCAGAGAAGTCAATTGCCCAAGGTCACACAGCTCGAAATTTGCTGCACAGGGATTCACATCCAGCCAGCCTGAATCCAGAATCCCAGATTTCAACCTTGACTCTAAAGTGATATTCTATTTTATTTTATTATGATACTCTTGACCCACACCTCCCCAATCCCGTGCTTGAAGGGCCAGGGGACAGGTAAACCCCAGTCAGCCTCCCTCCCCCCCATCCCCAACCCAGCAGGAGCAGGCTGGGTGACGGGGGCTGAGGCCTCGATGCGGGGTACACAGGGATGACAAGCGCCCCAGCAGCTCCCGCGTGCTAAGCGCGGGCGACGTGTAGGCGCGGTGCCAGGCGCGCTCCAGGCATCCTCTCATTTAACCCTCCCAGCCAAAGCGTCGTCTCTCCCATTCTAACTAAGGAGCTATGCGAGGCTGGAGGAAGGGGCTTGGCCCAGGGGGCGACAGCTGGAGCGGGTAGGACAACTGGAGAGATAACTCCCTCGGCCACACTGGGGGGGGGGGGGGGGGACGGCAGGGGGACCTGGGACCACGAGACCCAGTCATGCCCACGCCGCGCAGTCACCACCGACGGAACCCGGCACCAAACACTGGGACCGTCGTCAGTTTCTCCACCTGCCAAATGGGTGCCAGACCTCGCCAGGACCCCATCCCTGCCACCCGGAACCCTCCTGACCACCCTGGGGGCTGCCAGGATCCGCGCCTCCTCCGTTATTTAAAAAAAACCCGAAGTATCGGGAGAAGCCCGGAGGCCGGCCAGGGCTCTAAACTGCGGGCCGCAGTAGGGGGCATGCGCCGCGTAGGGGGGACCACCCGCTCCCCGCAAAGCGGCCGCCGCCCCCCGCCGCCCCCCGCCGCCTCCTTTGTCCCGATCTCGCCGCAGCGCAGCGGACAAAGAACCCCCGCCCGCGGGCGCGGCCCCCCGGAACAGACCCTCCCCCGAAGCCGCGTCCCCGCCCGGGCTGCCCCTCCCCCGCCGCAGGGACACCCCCTCCCTCCGGCCCACGGCCAAGCCGCCCAGCGCGCGCCCCAACCCCATCCAGGGTCGCCCCTTCCCCTCCTGTAAGCCCCCATACGGCCGATCACCCAGCCCGTTCGGACCCGCTCACCATGGCGCCGCCTGCAGCCTGGCTCGATCGCCCCGCAGCAGCCCTGCGGGCCCGCCTCTGCCCGCTTGCCAGCCTGGTCCGGCCGCTGCGCTCCGTCGGGACGCAGGAGCCCCAGCTCGGCGGCGGGCGGGGCATTTTAGGCACCGCCCTGGAAGGGGGCGGGGCCCTCGTGGCTAGGCCAATGGGATCTCGCGCTGGGACGGCGGGGCGGGGTCACGTGCGCGCGGGGCCGGTCTGCTAAGGCGGGGCGGGAGCTGCGCGCAGCTGGCAGAAAGGGGGACGGGGAGGGGGGTGAGGGGGGGACACTTTTAGCCTCAGCGCGCGAGGATTGGGCACCCGGGGCTGCGGGTCCCGGGCCAGGAAACCTCCCTCTGACCTTAGAGGCTGCTCGTATTCACCCCAATCCCGTACGGAGGGGGAAACTGAGGCTGACTGCAGATGCGTGTTGCCCGGAAGCGGGAGCGGCGGGATTCCGGGCCCGGAGCTGGAGAGAAGCAGGATCCCTTAGCTGAAAGTCCTTGCTTGGGGCGGGGAACTGGTTATTCTCTTATTTGTTAGTTCATTTATTTATTTTAATTCATTCAACATTTATGGAACAGCAACCCTGTGCCTGGGCAACCGCTAACAAGGAGACAAACAAGATCCCGGCCACCCTCACGGAGCTCTCATTCTGCTGAGGGCTGAGGCTGCCAGGAGTTTGCCGCCCCTTGGCTTCGTATAATCATGGTTATTTAACGTAATAACCTTGATTAGGCCCCCACCAAGGGCCACGCCCTGTACTAACCACTCAACACGTTTCTCAAGGTGACTCGGAAAGGAGAACTGTCCCATTTTACATGGGGATGAGGAACCCGAGGTCCGCAGGACATAAGTACCACAGCTCTCTTGTGATGGAGGCAGGATTTGAGGCCAGGCCTGCACCCAAGAAGGGAATCCAGTGAGAAGACACCGGGCCCTGTGGCCAGCTAGAGCCTGCAAGAAGGTGAGATGGGTCCGTCAAGACCTATGTGGCCCAAGTCTCCTGGGTCACTGCCTCTGGCTTGGAAGATAGGAAGGGACAGGGGAAGCCTCTCATTCTGAGAGCTGGGGGGCTTGCCAGCTGGAAACATCTCTCCCAGCCTCAAGCAGACCCTCTGGGAGAAGATGGAGTACTCAACTCACAATGCCATGGGGGCCAGGCTCTCCTTACTCCCTCCAGGGCAGACTGGCTGGTTGGTCTCTTTCCTGCTTCAGATGCACTAAGCTGTTTCCCATCTGGGGCCTTTGCCCGTGCTGTGTCCTCTAGCTGCACTATTCTTCCACTTCATCTTTCAGATCTCAGCTTAAATGTCCTTCCTCAGGAGGGCCCTCCCTGATCTCCACCTAAGTGATTCTTTTGTTATTTTGTTATTGTCCGCCTGGTGCATTGTGAAATTGTACATTTTTGAGGGTGTGTGATTAAATTTGGTCTGTCTCTTCCCTAGGAGTAGGGCAGTTTCATTCATTGCCACGTCTGCAGAACAGTACCTGGCACACAGTAGGTGCTGAATATATACACTGACTGGCCAGATTATTATGACCACCTGACGTTTGTAGGCAAATTAGCCGTACACTGCATCGTATGGGATATGGAAGCCGAAGGCCTGTTCGAACACCTTTGCTGTCTGCAGTTACCAAGATAAAACGTCTCCAATTTGCACAGGAACACAAGGATTGGATAGTCGAGCATTGGAAAAAAGTCATGTGGTCTGCAGATGGGAGAGTGAGAATTTGGTGGAAACAGCATGAAAGCATGCACCCCACATGCATGAGTACAACCCTTCAAGCTGGTGGGGGCAGTGTTATGGTTTGGGGCATGTTTTCCTGGCATGATTTGGGCCCTTTAATTCGTGTGGAACAATGTCTGAATAGCACAACATACCTAAGTATCGTTGCTGATCAAGTTCATCCTATCATGTTGATGGCGTATCCCAATGGAGATGGCTTCTTCCAACAAGACAATGCGCAATGCCATGGTGCTCGTATTGTGCAGGAGTGGTTTCAAGAACATGAGGGAGACTTTACCTTGCTTAGGTGGCCCCCACAATCACCAGATCTCAATCCAATTGAGCATTTGTGGGACGAAGTTAAAAGAGCCATCAGGCAGCTGGTTCCACAACCATCAGATCTCACAGAACTGGACAGTACTATTCATCAGGCATGGTGTCAGATTCCTCGCATCACCTTTCAACATTTTGTGGAGTCAATGCCAAGAAGAATCGCCGCAGTATTGAAGGCAAAAGGTGGCCCAACGAAGTACTGATGGGGTGGTCATAATAATCTGGCCACTCAGTGTATATGTTGAATGAATGAATGAATGAATGATTAGTCTGCAGAGCTCCAGGCCTGGCCCAGCTGCATCCTTGCCAAGAGGCCAGGCCCAGATGGTGAACTGGTGGTTGAATGGGAATAGGGGACAGAGCCTGAGGGAAGCCCGGCTCCAGGCCAGCTGCCCCAGAGGCCCGAGCCAAAGGTCTCAAACAACCTCCGTCTGTCCAGTGCTGCCTTCAAAGGCTCCTGTCACATCTGGGAGCCCAGAAGAGAGGGAAACAGGTTCTTCCCGCAGACCCAGTTCCAGTGGCCTCTGTGGTCCCAGCCTGAAGTTGGCAAAGACCTCATAAATGGGGAGGGTGTGGGAGGGGCAGTCTCAGAGCCCCAGAGCCAGAGCTGGCAAAGTGATGACAGAGGAGGCAGGGACACGTGAGGAAAAGATTCTGGGAGAAACAAATGGTAAGGTGGAATGCAACATGGCATAGAAGTTGAGAGTCAGACTTCCTGGGTCCAAATCCAGCTTTTCCTTTGGAAAAGCAGCCTAACCTCTCTGTGCCTCAGTTTCCTCATCTGAAAAATAGGGGAGACAGTAAGATTGACTTCACAGAGTGGTTGTGAGCACCTCAAGAGCTTGGTGCAGAGGCAGCAATTCCACCTACCTGGTATTTAATGTTAACAGTAGTAGCAGGGCCTGACAGGTGGGGTGAACTTGGACTTCCCCATTTGGAACTTGGGCAAATTACTGTACTTCTCTGAGCCTCAGGCTCCTCATCTTCATTTGGGTCTCATGTAAGACCCTTTGGGGTGCTGAGAGATGGGGGCCTGAGAGTAGCCCACCTGGGCTCAGCCATCATCTTGCCCAAATTGAGTTGCTTCAAGAATAACGATAAATAATAATAATAATAATGGCAGTAAACACTGTTCAAATCACTCCATGTGCATAAACTCATTTTAATCCCCATTTTACAAATGGGGATACTGAGGCACAGAGTGGCACATGTATACAGAAATTACCTGGGGGTCTTGTTAAAATGCAGGTTTGCTCAGTGGCGAGCGTCAGTCCGTGGGTTTGATTCCTGGTTAAGGGCATGTACCACGGTTGCAGGTTCTCCAGCCTCGGTAGGAGGGCACGTGGGGAGCAATCAATCAATGTGTCTTTCTCAGGTCAATGTTTCTCTGTCTCTCTCTCCCTTCCTCCCTTCCTTCCATCTCTTTCTAGAAATCAATGGAAAAAATATCCTAGGGTGATGATTAAAAACAAACAAACATGCCGATTCTGGCTCAGTAGGTCTAGGTGTGAGATTCTGCATTTCTTATAAGCTCCCAGGTGGTGCTGATATTTGGGGAACCACACTCTGAGCAGTGAGGGGCTAAAGCCCTTGCTTAAGGCCACGTAGATGATGAGCAGTGAGCCTGGACTCAAGCTCACACGGTAGGCTTCAGAGTCCTGTGCTTAACTGCCACCCTGCCTGCCCCAGCCCCAGCCCCAGCTTCCTCCCCTACAAAGAAGAGGCAGGAAGTAGAGCTCCCCTCCCCAAGCTCATTTCCTCTCCCGGGGCCTCTACCTCCATGCTGACATTTGGCCCATAGTACCCCCCTGCCTCCAGTGTCCCAGGGGTCCTCTCTGGCGATTGCAAAGAGGTTGTCAGATGCTCATTAGCCAGGAAGATAACTAAGGGCAAGGGATGAGCTCATCCTGGCTCCCTGGGGATTGCCATGGCTCAGCTGAGTCTGCCTTGTGCCAGTCTGGCCCTGTGCCTGCTCCCCTTTGCTGGAGAGGTGGGACAAGAGAGGGACTTGCTAGGGAGTAGGGAGGTCTCAGCCAGCCTCGTGGGAGACTCCCTCCAGCTGGGCCTTTCTGCCTCGCCACCAGCCACCAGGCTGCACAGGCCTCTGTTTCCAGGGCATCTCCATAAGGGTTCCAGACCTAAAATGAAATGAAAACTGCTTGGCCAGAGGGGAGTTTCCCAAAAGGTGAGAGGTGACCCCCTAGTGAGTTCTGCAGGGTCAGGTCAGGTGGGACAGCTAGCAATGAATCAGACAACAATTCTCATTCAAGGGGAGAAGGCCTCACTTGCTTTAACATCTCTCCACCTGGCTTCCCTCATAACCAGGAGGTTGCAAACCTCAGGCTCAACGTGTGGGCAATCCACATTCTTGAGCTAGAGGTTAGTAATGTGTCATTTTCTGCGTATTTATGTTTACAGTTACCTTCTATTTTGGGCTCAGGTATTGCTTTTCCATTTGTGATAATGACATCCTTTAAAAATCCGTCCATTAAGGGGGAAAAGTGAGTTAAAGCAAAGTATTAATGGAAGTAACTAGAGGTGGTACAGGGAGATGAAAGCAGTAGGGACAGTGGCAAATGGAGGGCTGAAGTGGGGAACCTGCTCGAGGTGAACCAGAGGGCTGCTCACAGCCTAGGCACCCCACAGACTTCTTACTGCAGGGCCCAGCAGACCACCAGCCCGAGGCAGGGACATCCCACAGGCTCTGTGTCTGCCAGAAAAGTCCATTTATGTTTTCCTGGGTTGAGTGGGGCCTAGGTTGACTCTGGTCTTTATTCCTGAGGTCTGTGGTCAGTGTCAGTGTGATGAGGAGCAGACTAAGGGAGCGGGGTTGGCAGGCCCAGCCTGAGATGCTCCCCACCCCCAGCCTGCCCTGCTTTCCATCTGTAGCACCAACACCGCCAAACACACACACACACACACACACACACACACACACACACACAACATACACACACACAAGCACTGGAGCCTGTTAATCATACATTCATTCAGTTATTCATTCATTCAACCAGTCTTTATTGAGCACCTACTATGTGCCAAGCACTGTGTTAGGG